CAGCGACTTCCCCCAAGCTTGTTGTTTTTTCATCGCCTTTGAACATCGCTTGCTAACCGATACTCTTGTCTCATCCAGCACGTACTGTCCGTCATTCAGCTTGTAGTGCTGGGGAGATAAGTGAGGTTGTTTTGTCACGCTATCGCCAGAAGTCACAAGGGCTAACCAAACACAAGGCAGTGTTCCCCCATAAACGCCATCACGAGTTGTTTGTAATAGCTCTGTTGTAATAGCTCTGGTTCAATTGCAAGTCACCACGGTTAACTTACTTTCGCTAGGAACATTTATGACATTAAGTGGGGTAATTTGCATGATCTAACATATTTTTCCTTGATAATGGAGTCATTACTATTCCGAAACATTTGATTTTATTGTTTGTTTTTACCGTGTTATATAAAATTAAGTTAAATTAATTATATAATCTAAATTAAATAATTTTAATTAATTAATTTAATTAATTAATTTTAAATTAATTTTGCTTAAAAGCATTTGTCACTCACTTATAACAAAGACATTGATGGTTTGTTCTTCTTCTGTGGCCCTTTCACTTCCTTTATTTTGTCTAAAGGTGCAGATGTACATTCCTTTGTCTTGTGGGTGAACTGGATTGACGCGCAAACTCCCATTAGAAAGTTGTGTGAATCTTCCCTTGTCCAGTGGTGTTTCATCTTGTCTCTTCCACTCAATCTGTGGAGCTGGAGTTCCTTCAGCACTACAACTTATAATTCCAGAATTACCAGCAACAATTCTTTGTTCAGGGTTCTTCTCAGTAAATCTTGCTTTTGGAAGCAATATACATAAATTGTGACAACTGCTTGTAAGTTATGATAATTATTATTAATATCATTATATTCTGAGTAAACCATCTGTCTGCTTCTGTAAATTAAGAGACAATACTAGAAATTAAAGTAATTTAAAAGCCAAGCATACATGTATTACAAAAGACTATGTACAAGGTTAATGTTATGGACATACTACATGGAACATGCCACTACAATACTGCATGCTCGTCCTAATTTTAGATTTTTTCTCCTTTTTTATATACGTAAGCTTATTCAGTTGTTACATATTTTATCCATTTCAGTGTTGACTATTTCATTGCTTTCTTTGTATTTACTATTTCGGGACTATTTTATCTAATTAGATGTAGAGATTTTCTCTTGATAATTTATCTATTGTTAATTAAGTGTCCCTAGTTAGCTCTAAAAGCTAAATATCATAGACCCTCAAATATATAATTTATTACATTATATTAGAAGTTGATTACTAATTTGCAGCAAATTATCACTTAAACACTTCAATTTTAGATTCTAAATTTACATGGATTTATTGATTTTCAGAAAAACATCAATTAATATCAATTAATATCAATTAATATCAATTAATATCAATTAATATCAATTAAGAAGAGACTTGAGTTTTTCGATATTTCACAATGTGCATCTACTGTTTACATTTTGCTATCATTTCGTGTAGCAAGGCAAAAAAGTTTGCAAAGATTACATTGAACTTTTGTCTGGAGAAAACAAAAGTTCAATTTACATGTAAAGAAAACAATGCTCTCTCCAGTGAAAAATTCTTCATGATTGCCATGGGCAAAAACACAGAGCTCTTCATATTTTATGCTAGGAGCAAATTAAGTTCTACAGTAGCAACACTAATAGGAGGAAAAATCAATGCTTAACTGATTGAAAAGTCATAACTTGAAACCGATGAACACTGTTTGAAAAGAATCTTGGCTGACAAGCAGCTTAGGTTCCAAAGTATATCTAATGGTTTTCTTTCACTGATCTTGCTGTTTTAAGTTGATATTTCTGTAAGCAGTTTGAATACCAAGTGTTTGGAGGTTTTTGGTTAAAATTACAAGGTGCTGCCATGCATGTTTATTTATTTACAACATCATCACATGGTCAGACTTCTCACTCTCAATATATGATTTCTTGTTGAATTACTGTAAATATTCATCCGAAATAGGAATTAGAAATGATTAGAAGTACTGTTATACTGATCTCTAGATTCAAGCAATGCAGTATTTTAAAAATGGCCAACTGCATCAAGTAATAATAAGTAAAGATAAACATGGTGGCATATAATTATATACATATTTGTATAGCATGCACATAATTTTACATCCCAAAAAAGCAGAAACAAAATGACCAGCATTCAAAACAGGCATACTGACTTCAGATCACATATTGGAAACACTATTTAACACAGACACAACCCTGTTATTTGGAACAAAACCATTTGTTAACCAAGATTCCCTCTAACTACTATGGACAGACCTGATGACATACCTGTACAGTGTAACGTAGCCCACCCCCTGGGGGGGGGGGGTACTCCCTTATATGGGTTATATAGAGTGGTTATGTGCGGCCCCAAAAGGTATGGTTTTTCAGCCGTTTTGGTCCTAAATAGGGTGTCAATTTTAGCCATTTTTGTCATAAATAGGGTATGATTTTTGAGCTCATCTCCAACTGGGTATGCTTTTTAGAAGAAGTTCCTTTTTCATCATTATTGATTAGAGCAACCAACAAAAGCCCTTTACAATGCCTTTAACACTGGTCTGAACTAGGGAGCTAAGTGTAAGGCAGGTCTGAAATGGGGTATTGATTCAGGATCAAGTCATTCACAGGGTATCAAATTTTTGGTCAGGTCATAAATAGGGTTGGGAAAATCATAGATTTTGGTCATAAATAGGGTAAGGGTGTTAGGAAGCTGGCTGCATACCCCCATGCAATTTTTCTCGGAGTACCCCCCCTCCACCCCAGGATGCACAGGTGTAAATGGTCTATCAAAGATTACTGAAATTGAGGCTAGAGAAAAAAATTGTACACATTTTAAGACAAACATATTTGGCTAAAAAAACAGGTTAAATGATCAAATTATGTGCTAGTAAAAATTATGTTCCTAGTAAAAAAGTAATCATTTGGCCTACCATTGACATAGATGGTGTAGTAACGAGTGTATTCCAATCCCCTGCATTCATAGGTTCCTCCTTCAGACAACTCAACTTTTTTAATGGTCAGTTCACCATTTTTGTTTGCCTTCATCCTTGTCTCAGATGTGGGGTTTAAAATCTCTTGATTTTTGTTATCGAACCAACTTATGTGTTTGGTTTCATTTTCCAAGGAGCAGTGAATAGTTTCACTCTTGCCAACATCCAAAAATTCTCGCACCGCGTTCAAAACTATTTTGTCCCCTGAAAGAAAAGACTCCTGCTAAGCACACTGTAAGGGCATTTAGCATAGCATGCTTTTCAATACTACCTATGCAACGTACCACATAACAAATAAGGATAAATCCTTAGGTATTAATTAATCAACCTCTCGAAAAGGGCTGACTTTTCTCTGGTAAGCAAGAATATTGTGATCCACACTGTTGCTATGAGCGTCAGATAACAATATAATTTTATTGCATTAGTATACATGTATACCACACAAGTAAATAAGGGTTTTCTCACATTTGGAGGTGATTTAGCAATGAAAACACTTTTTGCAATTACGGGCAAAAATTTTGAAATTTGCTATGATTGGTTTATTGCTATGAGCATATGGTGGTTGTATGGTGGTTAGATAATGCCAGACTTTTAAGTATTATTAATAAAAATAGTACTAAATCAAAGTATTCTAAGATCACTTACCTTTTGGTTCACACAATGCCTGAGCAGCTGTGTCATCATTTTGACAGTCAACATTAAGCTTTCCATCAGTTCGTGGGCAGGATGCCAGCTCAGGCTCATCTCCATAGCAGGCTACATCAGACATTACAAAAGGAATGTCCTCATCCTTGATATCTCCCGCAACAAATTCAGCCACTGCACGTTTGAAGCCAAGTTGACGACAAATAACTTTGACATCTTCAAAATTCCATTTATTATGGCAGATCTTTCCCCACTTTCCCTTGTAAAATACTTCCACTCTTCCAAAATATTCTTTATCGCTCCCATTTAATCGTACAGGGACTTGTGCGATAACAAAAGAAAAATAATTACAGTTTTGTTAGAATATTGCTTAAATTGGTTTTGCTTATTGCATCTTACATGTACAAAAACAGGGCCCTAATGTTGGAGATGGAAAGTTTTCAATACCATTTGTCATTAGCACAATTTGTTTTTTGAAACATTATGGACTTTCTTACAAAAGTAACACTAGATTTCTGTCCTTCAACAAGTTCTTTTGATTGACTGATTGATTGATTGAAAATTATCTTATCACATGCTGATAGTGTTATAATCATATAATAATCACATTATGTCAATGAACTTGTTTTGGGCTTGGGCCAGGACAAGTCAAGAATAAAATTAAACAAACTACGTGTACGTATGTACATGTACATGTATACCTTTGCATAATTGTGTTTTATTGTCAACGTTACTCTTGCAATCTGTCAGTGATGTACAGTTAGAGTGGATTGATGAATTTGAGGCATTGCTGTTATCTCCATGCCATGCACCATCATCATATAACCCGCTGTTAGTGTAACCCATGGCCTTGCAGGTCAAATCTTCTTCATCTGTACCTCCCCTTCTGGTACAAAGTCTTTCCCAGCTACCTTTTTTGTAGATTTCCATTCTGCCGCATGATGGGTTTTCCTCAAACTGAAAGCGTAGTGGAAATGCTGATGGAAGAAGTGAAAGCATGTCTTTTATCAGCCCAATTGATTCTACATGCCGTGTTTCTTTTTAAAGTCTTCTTTTCCTTACGGCAATATTCCATCAATGATTACAAGACATAATTTCACACTGGCAAGAATTACATAATGTTGTCCCTACAAAGCTGTACAGTACTCAACCAAATTGTTTGGAATAATTGATTCATAAAAAATTAACAAAGCCTCCACATATTTTCGAAGCTGGCATCAAGCTGATATCTGTAAACTATCCAGTCTTCTCGATGAAAGTAACACTTAATTTCTGTCATGAATTCATTGAGTTCTTACAAAAATTCATTGTAAATGCAATCTTTTAACATTATCATGGCCTCCTTTTGGCAATATCGAGTGTATGGAAAAAATACCTAGAACAGGAAGAACAAGCCACCACAGTTAATTTACTTACCATTGATAAACTTACATGCAAAACAAATTACGGATCTTTAATTGATCATCAGAATTTTTCTCCTCCAAGAGCTGAGAAAAGACTTATAGAATGTAGATTTGATATCCACGAACGTCAGAAAATATTATTCTTTACCCTTTCTTGTGACTGAAGAAATCAAATTTTCAATATTCCAATACAAGATTATTCACAATTTTCTTTACACCAATTGTGTTTTGTACAAAATGAAAAAGGTTGAAGACCCTCACTGTCCCTTCTACACAAACATCAACCAAACAGTCAGTCATTTATTTGTATCGGGTCCCTCTGCTAGTACTTTGTGGTCGGATTTTATTGAACATGGTGTCAGTCTACTTCTAAAAAGACCTTACGCCTTTCCGAGAATGAAATCATTTATGGCATAGACTTAATAACTGGTCATTTTGTTCAACCCTAAACCGCCTTATTCTCATAAATAATCTTTATTGCAAAACATTAAATAGCATTAAATTTAGGTTTGCAGATTACATAAATCAAACAAATGTTATATAGCCCTTATGTCAAACAAACACAATACCTTTTTAGAGAAGTGGTCCAGTTTCTTAAATTAATGCATGCAGTACGTAGTCACACATTTAATTTGCAAGGTTTAAATTGGTTATCACAGTTTTTCCAAATACTAATTGCGCATTGTTCTGTAACCTAGTGCAAGTAAGCAATATAGCATAATTATTGTAAGTGAGTAATGCAACATAATGTATCGTAAGTGAGGTAATGTAATGTATTGTAAGTGATAATGTATGTAATGATGTGAAGTTTATATGAAATAATTCATATATGAACTGCGGTAGTAGATGAAAGTGAAGAATGATCNTTCTTTACCCTTTCTTGTGACTGAAGAAATCAAATTTTCAATATTCCAATACAAGATTATTCACAATTTTCTTTACACCAATTGTGTTTTGTACAAAATGAAAAAGGTTGAAGACCCTCATTGTCCCTTCTACACAAACATCAACCAAACAGTCAGTCGTTTATTTGTATCGGGTCCCTCTGCTAGTTCTTTGTGGTTGGATTTTATTGAACATGGTGTCAGTCTACTTCTAAAAAGACCTTACGCCTTTCTGAGAATGAAATCATTTATGGCATACTTAACAACTAGTCTTTTTGTTCAACCCTAAACCACCTTATTCTCATAAATATTCTTTATTGCAAAGCATTAAATAGCATTAAATTTAGGTTTGCAGATTACATAAATCAAACAAACGTTATATAACCCTTATGTCAAACAAACATAATACCTTTTTACAGAAGTGGTCCAGTTTCTTAAATTAATGCATGTAGTGGGTAGTCACACATTTAATTTGCAAGGTTTAAATTGGTTATCACAGTTTTACCAAATGCTAATTGTGCATTGTTCTGTAACCTAGTGCAAGTAAGCAATATAGCATACATGTAAGTATTGTAAGTGAGTAATGTAACATAATGTATTGTGAGTTAATGTAATGTATTGTAAGTGATGTCATGTAAGTAAGTAATATAGCATAATTTTTCCTTGTTAGTAACTCAGTAATTTTATGCAACATTTTGTATGTAGGTAACATTGTACATGTCGTATGTAGTAATTAGTAATGTTTGTACGTAAGTAATATGGCGTATACTCTAAGTACTTAATGTAAAATAACATTTTGTAAGTGATCATTGTAAACTAGTAATGTAGCAAATTATAATTTGATTTTAGTACTGTGTTGTAAATTGTAAGCTTTTTAATGCAAGTGTTCTGTAATTGTAATGTATTATATGCAGTGTAAATAGAAAAATGAAAAATAATAAAAAAAACATATTGACTTATAACTTATCTCTGTGCACCTTCATAGCAGCTGGACATGTTAGTACACTCCCTCACGACTGCTCTGGTTCCATTACAATTTTTTCCACCATGTGCTGGCTCTGGGTTAGCACATTCTTTGATCCTTGTTTGTATGCCACTGACTGTCTTACTACAGATACTCCATTGGCTCCATTGGCTCCAGCCACCATCAACTTACAAATAGGATATCAAAACAGTCAATTTTACAATACATGAACATATAGCTACATTTGATACACTTTGATACACTGACAGTACCAATATCAAAGTTATACTTTTTCTTTTTCTTTTTTTTTCTAGGCACATGCATGACTGTACACTTCCATTTTCTTTGATCAACTATCAATTAACCAATCAGGGGCAACCTGAAAACACTGACCCACGGTCCACGGACTACCTATGGACTGGTCCACGGACTCCCTCTACAGACCCCCTCAACGGACCACCCCCCAAAATATAATAAAAATAATAAGTAAATATTTCAGTTATGGGTTGTCTAATAGATTACTCATGATGGCGAAATTTTGAACGTTACATTGTGCAAATGGGCAGACATGGATTCAGGCTCGGGTGCAATTTATATAATTACACATTGTCACCTCCTTTGCTGTGGCCATAAACTATACGAAAGATGTGCACGGGGAAGCCTCTGGGAAGCCTTGCAATTTGTGTTCTTTTCCCTCTGCCATTTTGTTCAGCCCATCCTCCCATGGGTTCGTGAACTCGTTCCAGGCTTCACAATTTACTCAGTGGAACAACAGATACAAACAAGAATAAACGGCCTAAAAATGTATCTTCCATAGCCAGATTGAGCCATGAATGGAAGGTAAGAACTTTCCTTCTTACCATCGGCATCTCCTTNCAACGGACCGGGTCCACGGACTACCTATGGACCGGTCCACGGACTCCCCCTACAGACAACCCCCCAAAATATAATAAAAATAATAAATATTTCAGTTACAGGTTGTCTAATAGATTACTCATGACGGTGAAATTTCAAACGTTACATTGTGCAAATGGGCAGACCTGGATTCCGGCTCGGGTGCAGTTTATCTAATTACACACTGCCATTTCCTTTGCTGTGGCCATAAAGCATACGAAAGACGCATATGGGGAAGCCTCTGGGAAGCCTCGAAATGTGTGTTCTTTCCCCTCTGCCATTTTGTTCAGCCCATCCTCCCATTGGTTCGTGAACTCGTTCCAGGCTTCACAATTTACTCAGCGGAATAACAGATACAAACAAGAATAAATGGCCTAAAAATATATCTTCCATGGCCAGATTGAGCCACGAATGCAAGGTAAGGACTTTCCTTCTTACCATCGGCATCTCCTTATGCTGAAAACAGCTTTTAGGCATTTCTTTTAGGGAGGCAGGGTGGGGTGTTAAAAACCCATGTCTGTTACATTTGCACAGTGTAACACTCAAAAAATCACCGACGTGAGTCTGAATCTATTAGACAACCCATAAGTGAAATCTTTATTTATTATTTTTACACTATTTTAGGGTGGTCCATAGAGGGTGTCCGTAGGGTAGTCCGTGGACCGGGGGTCAGTGTTTTCAGGTTACCCACTCCTCACACTGAACCAATCTGTTAACTTCTTCTTATGAACAACATTACAAGAGAAATTGTTGTCAAAAAGTTTGATGATGCTGACAATCTTCTCTGGGCGCCCATAGGCTAGCAGGATATTCCATAAGGTGTCTCTGTGGGTGCTGTAAAAGGCCTTTTCCAAATCTAGGAAATTAATGTGTACCTTAGTGTTCCACTTGATACACTGCTCGATGATATTTCGGAGTGTGAAAATGTGGTCTATGCACCCTACTCCTGGTCTAAAGCCTGCCTGCTCTTTCCTTAAGATGGTGTCGATGGCACCACTCAGTCTCATTTGGATAATTTTACAGAAGATCGTACTTGGTCCTGAGAGGAGTGTTACTTGCTGCCAGTTTGTGCACTGTGTCCTATCCCCCTTCTTGGGGAGCTTAACAATCAATCCCCTGCACCAGTCTTCAGGTATGGTCCGGCATTCCAGATTTTATTGAATAGGTCGTGTAACCAGTCTGTGGCAAAAACGGATGTCAGTTTTTAGTACTTCTGCTGTGATGTTGTCTATTCCAGGTGCCCTGTTGTTCTTCAGACTCTTAATTGCTTTCAGAATCTCATTTTTTGTTGGTGCAGAACAATCGATATCCAGTTTGTTTCCTAAGAGTTGTGCTATACAAGCCTGCTCTGCTGGATCTGGTTTGTTAAGGATCTCTCTAAAGTGCTCTGCGCATCTTTGTGGCTGTTTATCCTCGATTGTGATCCTCTTCTCGTCCTTATCTTTCACTGCATCACATTCTCCCTGGAATTTTCCAGAGAGGTCCCTTGTTATTTGGTACAGCTCACTTTACTCCCCCCTAATTGCAGCTGATACAGCTTGGGAGGCTAAGTTCTCATAGTGCATTCTCTTCTCTTTCTGTAAATTTTTCCTAACTTCTCTATTAGTCAATGAGTACTCTACTGATAGTTTCTCTACTAGTATCTGTGATCTTGCAGCCCCTTTCTTTTCCTTGATCTCTCTACGCTTGTTGATTAGGGACCACGCCTCAGCACTTATCCAGTTCTTATCTCTTTTCCTTTTCTTCCCTAGCACACATTCACATGCATGTAGGTAGCTCTCCTTTGCTATCCTCCATGCTGATTCTGCATCCCCTTCTGCCTCCTCATCAATGTTACTTAGAGCCTCATACTTATTTTTTACAGCTATAGACAAATTCTTGCTGACATCTGGGTTTCTCAACCTAGCAGTGTTGTACCTTCTCCCCTTCTCTTCCATCTTGATGGGGTTTCTTCTCAGCTGAAGTTTGATAGTTACTAAAAGAAGGTGGTGATTGCTTCCAACATCAGCACCCCTCTTTACGGTGACACTGTGAAGAGAATGCTTCCAACGACCATTAATCAAGACATAGTCTATTTGTTTCTTAACATTCCCATCTGGGGAGATCCATGTTAACTTATGGATCTCTTTGTGTTCAAAGATGGTACCTCCAATCACAAGATCACTTAAACCACAAATATCAGCCAACCTCTCTCCATTCTCATTCATCTCACCACAACCATTTTTCCCCATGATCTTTTCCCTTCCTTTGTTAGGACGTCCTACTTTGGTGTTCAGATCTCCAATCACTAACAGATCATTATGTGAGGGCACATTATCTAGTGTTTTTTTCAGCTGTTGGTAAATTTGTCTCCTCCTCAGCATCATTGGTCAGGGCATAGCATTGTATAACAGATATCTTTGTGTACTTGGATTTAAATCTTGCTACCATCAGTCTCTCGCTTATTGGTGTCCACTCTATCATGCTCTTCTTTGTTGCTTTTGACATCATGATCGATACTCCCTCTCTGTGGTCATTGTCATTCCTCCCTGAATAGATAATTGTGTTGCCCAGTGATGTTGTTACACAGTTACTACCGGTCCATCTACACTTGCTAATGCCTTAAACATCAATACGGCAAAGCGACATTTCCCTTTCCACCTGTGGCAGTCTTCCCTGTTTGAAACATAGTTAACATTCCAAGTGCCAATACAGCAATTAGACTTTGGGCTCAGGAGTGGCCTGATCGTGTGCTGTGCAGTCATTCGTCCAATTCCAGGCTGGGAACCAGCTCCCTCGTCCTGAGGTTGTGTATTTCTCTGATCATCAGTTTCCGTAGCAATTATCTACTGTGATGGGGTTGCTAGCCCCACGCACAGTTTGTTAAAGCCTTCGAATCTATACGGCGAATACATGACTGCGTGCATGTGCCCATGGTGTAAATTTGTCCCTGCTGTGGGGATGGGGGCAAATCGGTGAACAAATCCGTCCCAAAAATTCCCNGGGGGTGGGGGCAAATCGGTGAACAAATCCATCCCCAAAAATGTACATACAGACTGGATTATGATTGCATTACACTACACGAACGCAATAAGGAGATTTGACACCATCTAAAACATTCATGAAGTCATCCTTAAATTCTAGCTAGGCTGAGACATTACCACAAAGAAAGTAAAACTTCTATATGACCACAAAAGCTAACTTAGCTAAGTTAGTATGGGAGTGTAGTAGTAAAATCCTTCTCATTCTCTTTCCCTTCTAAGCAGAAAACTAGGATGTACAAGTAATTATCCAATCCCTTTTAATAAAATGAGAATGAAGTTAAACTGCTTTTTGTACCACTTAAGATTCTGTATCAAAAAGCATGACATTCTTCCTGCTCTATGCGTTACCTTATGCATTATTATTATTACACACTTACTCAGGTTCCAAAAGGTTGAAGTGCAAACATGAATAACAAATTTATATTGTTCAGACGTTCTGTTCCTTAAAACTCAGAGGAATAATCAAATACAAGTTTTCCTTTCTCTGTTTCTCTGTGCATTAGCCCATTCTTACTATCCAGACGTATTTCAAATTTAAACTACTGACTCGGTGAAGAAATCCTTTCAGATTCACAAAGAGTCTAACAGGAATCAACAGAAGGAAGGAAGGAAGGATGGAGGGAAACTCACATCCATACTTGGATTTTCAAAGTTAAAAAGTGGTACTTACTTGGAAGGACGTTTCTTGACTGAAGGAGGTGCTCTCCGACACTTCAAGCAAACTATGACAGCAGCCACAATGAGGCCAACAGCAGCACACACAGATCCTATGGTAACAGCAATGTTTCCTGCATTACTGGCACCTCCTTTTCCCCCTGTTTGCGTGTCTTTAACATTGACCTTGCCATTAACATGACCACATGTTGAGAGATCACTAAGAACCCTTACTTCATATGTGTTGTTACCTAGAGAATCAAAACTACTGTTATTAAACTAGCTCAGTTAATGGATTGTCTGACCTGCGGGGCCCAGAGGATTTCTACATATCTCAGCAGGTGTCCTTTGGAAAGAATTATTGAACCCATTGTTTTTTAAAGGAGAACATCAGTCCAGAAAACACATTCTTTCTCACTAATAAGAATATTACAAATAGAAAGTTGGTTCTCACAATGTTTGAAAGTTCCGACAAGTCTTACATGTATAATGGGGCTCGAAATTAAGGAAAAAAACTTCAGGTCGCCATTTGGCGACTAAGTGGTAAAAAATAGTTGCCAGAGGCAAATTTTAATCACCAGATCATAACACGTAGGGACTAGTTCCAAAGTGATTAAAATCATTTGCACAAATTTTATCTACAAAAAGACTCAATACATAAAATCTGAAAAGAAAAGACAATTTGACAATAATCTTACCACAAGGCATAAAAAAGAAACATTTTCAAGGCTTTTTCAAGGCTTTTTTGTCCTCTAATTTTGCATATGTAGCTGATGTCTGCTAATGCACATACGAAGGGTATGTGCATTACAAGAGACATCATCTGTGGGCATGCATGATGTACTCGAAGCTCTAGGGGTTGTGATGCATTATAAGGTGATTTTGAAAATGGTCAGCCATTTGGAAGTTTTCCAATGTGAGGATCCTTTACAGCAAAGCACGTTTGCACTAATTGTTTCTGCACATGCAAATTCACACACCGCATCATGCATCGATGTGTGCCCTAAGTAATAATTAAAAATGAACAATAATAGGGCACATGGCCATTGCCATAGCTTTGCCTGGATTTAACTGTCTTGGACGTTTGGTGACCCCTATTTTTCTTTTGATGGATCATTTTCTCTACTGATTTCACAGGGAGTGCACAATCTTATTGAATAGGAAGAGATTAAATAAAGAAATGAAAAGAATGAATAGTTTACCTTTGTCTCCTGTTGTTATTTCTTGCGTAATCTTACAGAGAAAACTGCTGCTTACAAGTCCTGCGGAACACTGTAGCGCTAAACTCGTACCTAGGCCTTTTCGCGCTCTGCAAAAAAGAAAAAATTTTGCTTTACATATAACATTGACAAGGGAGGCAACTCTCTGCCCAAGCATTTTGAACACAATCTGAATATTCGCTCGGATCTCTAAATGTCTTTGCTTCCATGAAACCAAACAAACACAAAACGTAGTTGAAAGATTTTTCTACAACTTGGCCAAATTTGTTTTCAAATACTTTCATGACAGTTGGAGAATTTAAGCGTCTTTAGCAAATTTTTTTTCAAATTGCTTTTCACAACATGATCATACCGTTGAACTGGAACCGGTGATGTCATCTAGCGTGTGCTCAAGCTCCCCTCCCTCTCCCACACGTTTTTTGACACGACAAATCTTTACAAAATCCTTCCCCAGCACTCAATTTTAAACGCGGAATCTTGTTAAAACGCTTCAGGTATTTACCCCCGAAATTTCATTTCCATGTGGAGATTGGGCAAGAAAACCTGCAGGCTGGGGAAGGGGTTTGTAAAGATTTGTCTTGTCAAAAAGCATGTGTGGGAGAGGGAGGGAAGCTTGAGTGCAAGCTGCATGACGTCACTGGTACTGGTTCAACGGTATGATCATGTTGCGAAAGTGATTTGAAAAAAACTTTGCTAAAGACGCTAAAATTCTCCAACTGTCGCGAAAGTATTTGAAAACAAATTCGGCCAAGTTGTAGAAAAAATCTTTTTACTTTGTTTTGTGTTTGTTTGGTTTCGTGAAAGCAGAGAAATTTAGAGATTCGAGCGAATATTCAGATTGCGTTCAAAATGTTTGGGCAAAGAGTTGCCACCCTTGTCAATGTTATATGTAAAGCAAAAAATTTTTTTGCAGAGCGCGAAAAGGTGTAGGTACGAGTTTAGTGCTACAGTGTTACGCAGGACTTGTAAGCAGCGGTTTTCTCTGTAAGGTCGCGTAAGAAATAACAACAGGAGACAAAGGTAAACTATTCGTTCTTTTCATTCCCTTATTTACTCTCTTCCTATTCAGAAAGGTTGTGTGCTCCCTGTGCTGATTTTCTACATTTAGCGAAAAAATGAAGAAAATCTATCAATTAGAAGTTTGAATTTTTTGCAAAACGCACCATCGAATTCTGTTATTTCTAGCTCTTTGTTTATCTGTGTGGCAGTTTCAAATGCCTCTTTAAGGGTTAAGTTTTCTGGAAATGTTGGCAACATTTGGAATTGTTTATGCAACAGACCCACTTCTACAAAATATGACTAAGATTGTTTGCCTCCATTGACTCACCTTCGATATTTTTAACTATACACCCCTGTAGACCATGCTGAATTATGTGTGCCAATTTTTCAAAATCTGGGTAGTTTTTCACACACTTCATCTCTGAAACAAAGTCGGTGACCCCCAATGTTTTTTGCATTTCTGGCGCAAGTAACCCATTATCTGACTGCAGTAAAAATTAAAAAAAATCTTTTGACTGGAAGATTTTTGTGGGAACGTCCTTAAGGCTACAGTGTAGATTAGTAATAAATAAACCAAAAGATAACAGCCCTAAATTATAAATAAGGAAAAGCGATTAAATCCTGGTTTTATGACTGATTGAGGGAGACTTCAATTACTTCACAGTTTCAGTGTCTCTGGTTGGTGGCTACACAACTGACATGTCAAAATCAAATCAAAGTGTTCATGGTATTGACATTCACAGTAACTTTTTGGAAGATTTTGCACACAGTTCTACTGATTTTGTTCAACCTGGTTCAACCCTAGTCCATTTGAAATAATTTCCAAATTTTACAAAACAAACCCAAAACCAACTCACCTATGTCAATGACATTCTTGTGTTGAATATAAAGGCTTTCATTGAACTGACAAATCAAGTTGTTAACTGAATGTTGGTTTACAGGTTTGAGTTCCATACTCATTTCAGCGCTGATTCTGTGTCTACAATGAAGCAACACAGATTCAGCTACTATGTGTCCTGTGCCAAAATTACATTTGCAGGATTCTGCCATGCTGGATGCTATTCCCTCAATGATATGTGTTCCTCCTAGGGAGCCCTGAGAAATAACCTCCAAATTAGTTTTGGCCAAGCAATGAACATGTTTACAGTCAAATACAGTTGAACGCAGCTACAGTCAAACCTCTGGTTTCAACCACCTCTCATAAGCAGCCACCTCTATAAGCAACCAGATTATTAAAACACCAAAAGTTTTCAAGTCAAATCACTATATTTGGAACCTGTTGTACATGACCACCTCTTGTAAGTGACCACGACCACTTTTAGAACTAATAGTTTGAAATTCTCTTTTGGTTTTAACATCCTGTAAGGGACCACTTGGTAGATAATAGAGCAGATATTAGATAATAAGGTGTTATACTGTTCGACTTATTAGGTAGTTTACCGACTTTACCAGAAGTGAACCATGATACTCAATAAATACTTTGGAAAACTTAAATATTTTTGTGGCTAATTGAAGTTATTACATGGGTTTAGATGGGCACTGGAACATGGGGTAAGTCTCTGCAGTTACCATATGCTAATGGGCACAATTTTGATTTACGCAATTGGATAATATTGGTCTAAGCTCTTGTAAGAGACCACCTCCCATAAGCGCTTCCCAGAGGTTTGACTGTATTTAGAACTATCAAGGGAAGCAAAAAAAGGCTGTAAGGCTAGGAGTATCAAGAAGTCATTCTGTGAGAGATTAACAACTGCATCACAAAGTGGAGTTTTGGGTGCCTGAGGCATCCAGGAACTTCCACTATTGGCAGCCAGCTCCTAGATGGAGACCACTTCCATGGCTGGCAAATCCTGGCAACCCGGCCATGAGCACACACGTTAAGCTGGAGGATCACCAAGCAGGCTTGGCACTGCAGGCAGGGGAAGCCAGAGCCTCAAAACGCCCAAATCCGATGGCACCCAAAAAGATAACAGCAAAATCAAGGGTAGATGAGCCCATACCAAGTCCATAGCAAGCCTTGCTGCTACAGAAAGGATGGTGTCCACAGGTGTACCCACATACAACAAGTAAGCTTCACTAGACCAGCGACCCATAGTCTCTTAATGAGATGGTCAGGGAGGCCCCTCTTGGCAGCAGTAGCTGCAGCTCCAGTTCTAAACCTATGGCCTTCAAACTCTCCTAGGATACCTGCAGACTGTAGGGTAGTTTGAAGAAATGAAGATAGCTGAGACTTTGAAAGAGGAGTGGCATCCCGGTAAATAAAGTGTGGTCCGGTGCCTGGCCTATCGAGATAAAGTTAGTGTGACAAAGAAACCACTGGACAGAGAGGGAATGAACCACAACCCAGGAAGATAAAACAACCTTTATGGAAGGGGTCAGTCTTTGAACACTTGATAAATACTCTGAAACTCTGAGGATTCATGGGGGAGTCTACTTGTACATCAGCCAATGTCAAGTGTGAATTGGGATCAAAAGTTCCATTAACTGAAATTCACCAGCTCTAAGGAAATGAAAGATGCCCAAGCAACAGGCAGCCCAAAGCGTGACATTGTCAGGATTGGCTAACTCTAACGACCAGTGTAGCACTGACATAAGATCTGCAGTCATGGGCTGGCGCTGAGGCAGATTGGAACCCTGGTGCTGTTTGATCCCAAGCAAGAGACGTTGAAGTTGAAGACAGTTGGTAAGTGGGTCAGGGAAGCCATAGTCAATGTGTAAGGAACGGACTGCTGACGAGTAGACTTTAATGGAAGTGTGGTGAAGCCAATCTGCCAAGTGGGCACAGATGCGCATCAGAGGGTGAGTCCTGGTTACAAAATTCTAAGAACTGGCATTGTGCTGAGCTGTAAACTTGATGAGTGGAGGGAACCAAGCCATTAGCTAAGTAAAAATGGCATTTATCCGTCAATTTACAGGAAGCAGGGCCAGCAGTGATGGCGGGATTGGGGTTGCCTGAGGTGCTGCCTGTACATTTTTTTAAAAATAAGAGAGGCGGGGGGAAAAGCTGGGCCCCCAGGGCCCCTCCCTTAGATCTGCCACTGTTCAGTTAAATTCCATGACTCTCCAGGTCTGGAAATTCAAATAATAAATTCCATGACTTAACAGGTTTTCCATGACCCATGTGAACCCTGTACATGCTAAAAAAGCATTTTTTTTAATGATAAAAAACATTGTAACCCCCCTGAAAAAATGGGTCATATTACATCCCTACCTCCCCATAACGGGTGAAACAGATGGTTCTTTAAGTGTCTCTTATAAAGGTCCAGGCTACTCTCTAATAGGTCCAAATATAAATTCAAACAAAACGTGTATTTTAAAACTTTTAAAAGGCCTTTATATTGAGGCGAAATTAAAAATAATAACGTTTGCGTGAATCACTTAAGCTTGAATAAAAATTGAATAATAGGAGCACAATGAAGCGATAGTGGGATGCAAAAGGGTAATTATATCGATTTTACTTAACGTTGCAGCTGTGCGGTGTATTCCACACTTTTTGCATTGAATATGACCTACTTATGTACTTGCTCAGGGGGGGGGGGGGGGGGGGGGCAAAGCCCTTTTTTAAGAGTTACGATGTAATACATATTTGTCCGGCCAAAATCGTTTCTTGTCTGAGCAAAAATTGATGTCACCAGGCAACTTGACCAGTGCCAGTCAGGAAATTATTTCATGCCCTGTAGTGATGTTTTGATTTCTTGTAACCTGAGTAGTGACAGGTCCTCTCAATAGCAAATGAAATAATCAACATGGTAAAATCTTTTGTGCCCAGCACTTTTACAAAGGAAAACATTTTTCAGATAATTTTCTTAAGAAAAGAGCTCTTCATGTGATTAATCTAAACATTTGGAAATTTATGTAGCTCTGAAAATATGACACTTTTCAACCATGGCTGATACCTTAAGTAGCTTTATTTGAAGATGATAACTTATTCTATGAAGATAACAAATAATTCTATCATTACCTTTAGAAGGTTGCAATCTTCAGTCATCAACTTGAGAGTAAACTGCCGGTTAAATTGTGGAGCAGGTGTTGTTTCTGTTGACTCTGTGAGATTAACAAGGGAAAGAATTAGCAATATTATTGATTCATGCTTTAGCATACAACATCATGTTATGCATGTGGAATTGGTTTGGAGAGTACAAAATAAGTGTAAGAGTTGCTCAAGGCACAGTAAAACTTCCCAAGAGCATCAGCCTAAAAGCATGAATAAATTGTTTTATAACATTGCCAGTAGCAATAAATTTCTTGAAAGGACAAGAATTGCCAGATCACAAAAGATGCTGGACCTTGTTTCACAAACTGAAGATTTGAAAATTTAGTGAAGATTGTTGCCATGATCTGCAAGACAGTGAAAGAAAGATATCAAATTGAAGTATGCTGCATTGGTTAAAGACGAGAGGCTGAGAAAGGGTCTGGATAATAGAGAAGAGGAAATTAGCCGATGGAAGGAAGATTTGATGTGGGACCAACAGGTGGAAGATGATTGTCAATTATACGAGTTACGCAAAAGTCAACACAAGCAGGAGCGTGAGTGGTGGAAGAGAAAGCTCAGAGGAGAATTATGGGTAGTGGAGAAGAAATCAGAAATGGAGAAAAAAACACTGTTTCCAGCACCACAAAATTACCAAAATTGAAGATAACACCATTCAAAGGTACTGCCAGTGACTGGGTGAGATTTCATAACATGTTCCTAACCCAAGTTGATGCCAAGTCGATTTCTAACAGAGAAATTTGGGTATCTTCTCGAGTCTGTGGGCCCGAAGGTTAGAGACCAAATAGCAAACCTAAAGCCTGGAACTGTTGGTTACAAAATGGCATGGGATCAGTTAAAGAAAGAATATGGGCAAACAAAGGTCATCGTAAATGTGCACATGGGTTAAATAATTGATTTATTCCCAGTCAAAGGATAGAATTGCTTCAGGGTTTAAGAATTTTACGAGAAACTCAGCAGGAACTATGAAGCTCTTCAAACCCTGGAAGAAGGTCAAAAATTATAAAATGTTTGTGATGACTACGCTCAACAAAATTGCCTCACTTCAAACCTGATCTGTTAAGAGTGGACGAGAATTGGGAGGAATAGTCCATGAAAGATTTGATCAATGCTCTACAGAAGTGGCTCAGGAAAATTCACCTTGAAAACAGCAAATGTGAGAAGCACCTGTTCATGGATGGAGAAGGGAGATAAGCAGATGCTATATTGCCTTAGTTTTCTGTCGTAAACAAGATCAGTGGAGTGTGAACTGTACCGTAGTAACAGCATTGGCAGACAGGAAGAATTTTTTCATAGAACGCAATTTGTGTTTAATTGTGGGCGTTCAAACCACAGAGCAGACCAGTGCCATTGGAGTGGTTGTGTGAAGTGCAAATACTGGCATCATAAAAGCATATGCGATAGACGGGAAAGGGAAAACAGCAGCAGTTCAAATGGAGTATCACTGACAGGCTACACCAATTACACAGAAGAGATAGTACTATTCCCATCAGCATTGACAGACAAGTTCTTTGGGCCTACCTGGACAAAGGATCTGGGCGCAATTTCATCTCATGCAAAGCAGTCAAGTTGTTAAAGTTAAAGCCAACAGGTCACGAGACATGTAAAATCTTGACAGTCAACAAAACCAAAGTGCAGTCCATGCCAATCTTTGATGCCCACATTAAATCCCTGGACGGAAAATCATGTGAAGAAGTTGAATTCACTGGCTCGAAGTTAGCTGATTTTACCACTGTAAGAAGGCCAGACATGAACCAGATGAAATTGAAGTACCCACGTATGCAGGACAAGAGGTTCATTGACAAGCACCTTGCCAGATTACAGAATGGAGAGGAGCAGGCCATTTGAAGTGACCGGAGTGGACTTTGCCAGACCCTTTAGATAAAAGGTTGGCAAGAAAGAAGACGGAAGTGTTATATTATTATTTTCACCTGTGCCAGCTCCAGAGTAGTCCATTTAGAAGTCGCAAGAACCCAAACGACAGACAAATTCAAAAATAAGCTTAATGCCTTCTTCTTGTGTTGAACAAGACCTTGCATCATCATCTCGGATAATGCCAAAGTGCTAAAGCAGGGCTGTCATTAAGGGCTGTAACCCGTAACACCTGTTACGGCTGAGTTCACTCGATGTTACAGGTGAAGATGTCGATGGATGGTACGAACATGCTACACTTACCGAATTTATTTTTAAACATTTCCCTGTTGAAGTAAACATAACTGTTTCTTGGTGTCCTGCCTCCTTGGTTCTACTATTTATATTTTACCCTGGAGATGAACTTTCAGTTTGCTTAATCGTCGTGAATTACATTTAGACACCATTTTAAGCAGCAAAACTTATCTTGCAATGCGCTGCTCCTGCCTTTTGAGAAATTCCGCCGACCAATGTAGGGTGTTGTCCAGGCTGATCAATCGTGTTTGGTCCCGCGTGTGTGTAGAGAAAGTTATGTTTTAATATGAATAAGAGAAAAGAACCCATGTCAAAACAGCCTGGGATCGACAGATTTTTTTCGAAATCCCAACGGACCGATGGAAATGAGGAAGCTC